CAAGAACTTTTTCCCAACAGCAGGAGATGTTCTGGAATTTGCAGAGAGGACTAAGGCTGTTCTCCCGTGTCTGCCTTATTAATTTGCTTGTTTTTATAAATCATGGCGATTACTGTGGATTTAATGATCCACATGGAGATCAGTTTTTCAAAGTAGTTCGGTTTAGGGAATGGCCGCTCCACTGGCCGGAGTAAGTCCCCTGTTTGCGGTGTTCTTTGCCGGTTGTGCCGTTGGTAGACATCTGCAGACGTCGGATCCAAGTGATTCTACTTAATCAGTTTTTTTCTTCAAAGCGATTTCAACAATACATTATCTCGTGTTCAGATCAGGAAATGACGTTTATCCAGAATATGAACAGCGGTGCGTTGGCCGGTGTGTTCACAACTATCATTATGGTGCCTGGCGAACGAATCAAGTGTCTATTGCAGGTAGGTAGGCGTGATCTCGAGTTTTACTTATTTTGTCATTGAATTTTCTTTTCAAAGGTGCAATCCCAAGGCCACGCTCCGTCGGGAGTGCATTACAATGGCCCTTTGGATGTGGTGACGAAACTGTATAAGCAAGGTGGACTCACCAGTATTTACAGAGGAACCGGCGCGACGCTTCTAAGAGGTGGGCATAGTTTGAGTACTCTCACCTAAAATCTTAATTATTTGCTTTGTATATGTACTGTTGACTAAATGACTTCTTTTTGTGCGGCTGATCTAATTTGCGCTGTAGCGCGCCTTCTGGCGCAGTTAAATAAATAACTAAATGAGTAAGTTAAGCCGTTTTTTTTGTTAACGTATAAAGAAATTCTGTAAATAATCGCATTTCAGAAAAAGAAAGTGGGTTAACTTCATATCCCTCTTCATCTTTTCTTTTTTTCTATCTTTGTTTTTTTTCTCTTGGTAGTCATAGGTTCCTAGAGTTGATCTTAACATCGAGTTGTCATGACATTTTTTATAGCGATATAGTGGCAATAAATGATAGTGTAGCGCTAGAGTGCCAAAGGGATCGATTTTCTGATCTCCTTAAATTTTAGTCACCCGCGGATTACTTGAATGGGACGAGTTTACACGAAATAAGGGATATCGCTATCAGAAATTAACTCTGAAAGCTGTCCATACGGTCATCCTCTGAGGATTAAAACGTAACCATTTCTGGGCTGATCAGTCCCTCTAGGGATGCGCTGCGCATTTGGCATCATAGGAAAGTTTTGCATTCGAGTTGACCCTTACAATGGCTTGCGAGAAACGGGCATTCATTACTACTTTTATTCCCCCAGACAAAACTGATTCCATTCAGCCTTTGGTTTTAGATATACCAGCGAGTGCGGCATATCTATCAGTGTATGAGTTCCTCAAGAAGAAATTCTCTGGTGAAGGCGCTCAACGTACATTGTCACCTGGCTCAACATTGCTGGCTGGTGGACTTGCCGGAATTGCTAACTGGTACGCTTTCTGTAACACTTCACTATTTAACGATCCACTTTGTGCTCCCCAAGCTGTTTTTTTGTTGTGATGTTCATGTCTCAGAGACGTGCACTAGATCCAGTTTTTATTCGCACACGGGCAATAGTAGGCAGTTGTTGGTAAGCGGTGCACGGCTCCTCATAATTACAAAAGGCTCACCTTAAGCTATTTCCACCTGATGACACCTAAGGTTCCCCACCCTTATCTAGAAAAGCAATATCCGTCGAAGAGTGGACCTGAAACTGTGATCAGATTTAAAAGCACAACGTTTTTGGCCCTGATAATCGTCCTTGGGTTGTCTCAGTGCTAGAACCCCGAGACATTCTTCTTCTTCAGAGTTTGTCCCGCTCGATGACGGGTTCCGCTCTAGAACCCCGAAACATTGCGGGCATATTTCCTTGTGGTGCTAACAAGGAGAACCTGTACCCTTTTCCGTCTCAAAGAAAGGAACGGGGCTTTATTGCATGATTTTCCCGGGCAGGTTCATTCACGTAATGGCAGCCTTGCTCTTTTTTCACTTGCGCTTTCTGCCCGAAGTTACTGGAGGCGAAGGGTGTTGGCAGGATTGAACACTAAAATCTGATACTAGGTCACGTTGATTGAAACCCCATCTAACTCCCTTCTCTCGCTTCCGACGGCTAACCCCTCTTCGTTGGTAGAGAGGAGGAGGGGCACTACACGGTCACTCCCTCCCCCTGATTTACCGCGTTCCACTTTCCACTGTTTTGATTAATTGAAGTCCTCGGATAGAAAGGCTCTGAAGTTGATGAAAATGTCACCGGCCATTGCTTTTCCACCTTCCCTTTCAGGTTTTCTGTGGCGCTGGCATTTCCTGTTCTATTTAATTCTATCTCGGTTTTGCAGGTCAGTGTGTATTCCTGCCGATGTGCTGAAATCGCGTCTCCAAACCGCTCCAGAAGGCAAATATCCCAATGGAATACGAGATGTATTCAGGGAGGTGATACGAGAGGAAGGGCCAAGAGCTCTTTTCAAGGTTCGTTGGCAGGACTACTCGAGAATGAATTGAAATTTTCTTTCCGAGAATAGTAAACGGAAAAAGTCTAAGATGTAGAGTCCACATCACGGTGCTTGGATAGGGCGTGTCCACGGACACAGCTGTGGACGCGGTGGCGCTTACATGTCTGTATAAAGTGTTGCGGATCATCTAGCCATCCTCAAAGCTTAAGTAGAAATAGCAATTTATTTCATTGTAAATGCAAATCGGATCTCTTGACCCACGTCCACGATGGTCTGATTTCGGCGCTCAGAACCCCCTGTTTTGTATATTTCTCCATATTTCTCTTGATCGATTTCATTTTGTACGGGGTACAAGTCATATTGGATCATTTCATTTATCATTCTCGCTTTCAGGGTTTCACTCCAGTAATGCTTCGTGCATTCCCGGCCAACGCCGCATGTTTCTTCGGTCTGGAGCTGACCCTAGCTGTATTCCGATTCTTTGGTTTGGGAGTAGGGAAGACCAAGGAGATCGAGGGCATCATAGAAGGAAGCTTCCCCTCAAGTCAAATGTAGAGGGAGTTTGCAATTCAGCTGCTTCAGTTGTTCATAGCTCTGCTTTGCCCTTCTTTCTGGTAAACTTGTGATAGTTACTGACAGTTGCCTTTGTGACTGATTGTCCAACTCCCCTTCTTACTATCCATTTTCTTGTTCAGAGTTGGCTAACCGTACGGATGTTTTACTTGGACACAACCTCACTGCCTTTCATTGTTTCACAAGAGTAATTAAGCGATCGAATTACGTTCCTCAGTTTCTAGGTTGCAATTAACCAGTGTACATAAGAATCTTTTTAGCACGTAGAGATGGTGATCTTCAAGGAATGTTTTACGTTCTGGTAGTAGAAATACTAACCTTGACATGTTTATAGATAACTGAATACGTTGCTATTTTTAAGTGACCCTGTTCTATGTAATAAATTATTTTTTCTTGACCGTGTTTTGCGTGAGTGCCATTCCACGGACTTTTAAGAGTTTACCGCCGAATACTGTGCCGTCCGCAGTGGCAAGAAAAATTGCTCAACTGACACCTGGCGTAGTAGTTGATTTTGAGATCGATTGATCGGGGGGGGGGGGAAGGAAGCAATAGAGTAAATAGCACGCGTGACACAGGAAGAAAAGCAAAAGCGGAAACCATTTTAACGAAAGGCAGTGACGACCTCGTCCCTCCAGCGTACCCAGATCCAGACCTCGTTTGCAACGCCGATGTGGTGCACGACAAACTAAATAGCCCATCGCTTGTAATGAACTGCGGGTATCCTGCTTTACAGCGCTCTCATGTCTTGCATTAACGTTCTGCTTCCACTTTGACATTTTTACAACCTTTCGCGGCGTTAATAGTAATGGCTCTCCCCCCGGCTGTGACTTTTTTCAGTTAAATACACTCATCTCACTGTTCCGCGGATTATCGTTATCCTGTCCATATGATGATAACCGGTCAGGCCTGTCCGCTGCGGGCGAACCTCTATCAGATATTTAGTCGCCAATGTTAACGCACCGTGGGCATCAAATGAGAAGGTAATAGCTACATCTTTCGCGTTAGAATGATATTCTCGAAAGCGGGAGGTCGTATCTTGGTCGGCTGGGGGGGGAACGTATTGCGTCCAAAGAATGTTTTTCCATAGTTGAGTTTTCTGTGTTTTCACGACAGCTATGAGGAGGGGAGTGGTACTGCACAGACCGAAGACCACCCGTTGTTGGGTGAGAGGGGTGTTCGTACTTGCCTTCTGCATAAAACATTTTTCGGGCGCTTCGGAAAAAATCCCGCCGTTGTTGATTTTTCGCGGTTTCTCCTTTTTCACCCCTTTTCACATGTGCTATATCCCCCTGCTGGACAGCTCTTTCGCATCAGAGGAGGGAACTAGGGGGGGGGTCGTAATGCAAGCATCCTGTTAAGGGGTAGCGAAGCCGGACCAAACGGCACCAGGTAATGATGTGCCCTGGTCATCTTAACAGGTGACATACTGAGCCTTGTACCTGTGCATCGCCCTACTCTGTTGGAATCAACGTATGAACTGCATGGAACAAATTTATTGTGAAAAGCGTTGCTGATGAAATTCGAATGTAAAGCGACAGTCCTCTTCAGCAAAACATTGTCCACTTCGCAATTGAACGAATTCAACGTGAAATTTCGGCCTTGTCAAGGAGTTCAAGAGATCAATCACTCGTCATAAAGCACATTCATGTGAGCATTCGAGAAGAAGCACAACAACAACAACAGCAACATTTCTGAAGAATGATGAAATGTGTCTTCTGCTTGCCGGTACCGGTAACCATTTGAGGTTTTGTATCGAGTTGTCGTTCAATCGTCTTTTATTCAGGTGGATCAGCGAGGAATGGAAACGGGACAAAACCGGGATCGTTCATAAACATCTCTACATCGCGTTCGTAGTCGCCATGGGATTTTGGTACTGCTGAAAAGAGTAGTCATTTGACGAAGAAGTGAAAAAAAAATCATAGGAAAGGGTCTGCTGACGTATCCCCGAGAAATAGCTCGTAAAGCTGTACTGTTTAGGAAAGGGGGCGAAGACGCGATCTCATCGGGGGTATAGCTCAGGGGTAGAGCGCTCGCTTTGCATGCGAGAAGTCTGGGGTTCGATTCCCCATACCTCCAACATTTTTGCATTTTGCCACAGTGTGCCCAATTGGAGCTAGATGTGGGAGGGAAGCATTTGTTGCTATTCACGGCAATCTCAAGGAAGTTGGTGACTGCTTTTTAATATCGTTTCCTACGTGAGATAGCTAAAACTATAGGCGTCAAACCCTACTTCAGGAACGACGTGAAAATCACTTTGAGAGAACCAATCATGTTTGGGATGGGTAAGGCATGAACCAAATTATCCGGCTCACAAGCTAGATCAAGACCCGCCAACTGTGGGCGGGGCGTACGCCGAAGTGAGCAGTGCCGTAGGCAAAAATTCCTAAAATGCTTCCAGAACAGCCAGGAACCAAGAAAAAGAATGATGGCCAACAACGGGTTGGTGGATCAAATGGGTGAAAAACACCCGCAGCAGTCGGGGAACACCCAATGGGTGGAGCTTGTGTATTTTAAACCCATACCTTCCATGGGTACAACACCGTTTCGTTCCATGTACGAGGCGAGTTGCTGCGGTACTTCAGCCAGGACCTCTTTCGCCAGCATATTCATTACATGTCCGTTTTCGATTTCAAAAGAGCCACAGTAGAAATCACGTAGAGCGACGAACTGTAAGAAAAAAAAGTAAAAATATGTGAAAATAAATTTTTCAACAGTCTTAAATGCAACCTCGAAGTACAAAGTTCTGATTTCTATTGGTCCATGTTATCAGTACTATCTTCAGGTGAAATCTCCCGATACCTGCACGATATCCCTTTGAGCGGTTCGACCATCGTGTGTAAGCAACATCTCATCAGAATCGAGCTCGTTCATGCTGCTAAAGTCCTCGTTGCCCACACCGACAATAATAATTGAGAGAGGTAGGTAAGATGCCTTAATGAAAATGCACTCGAATTATCTATAGATTCAGAGGGGTGCTGAACTATGGGCAGAACATTGGGCCCCGGGGAGTTCCTACACCTCCGCGATGGTCTCCGGGCGTCCTATTTATCCAATACAAGAGCGTTGTTCGCTAGTGAGGGGCATCTCGCACGCTATTCTTCTGCTTTTCAGGTTAATTGACAAGTTACACTCGGGTGAAATCTGTAAACTCTTGTGAAGTTAAAAAATGGTATAAGTGAGCCACTTTCGTCATAGTAGTTTACAGATCTTTACATGATAGCCTGAATTGGCTTCATAAAGGCTTGTTACATTATATGGTGTCCCCACCAAGACAAACTGCGCGCCCAGTACCAGGGCACATCGTTATTGGGAATCCCAACAGGGGGGAGCGGTCGATAATCTTGGGACTTGCAGAAAAGTTATTTGAATAGTGGTTTTTCTCGGCTTTCGACGGACGTTGTAAAAGGGAAGGGGGGGTCATGCTTCGGGTCATTGTTGGGAGGGGCGGGGTAGCATCTACGTCTTGGCGTTGCAGGCCAAAATTAATACAAAAAAGATGGAGAGCGAAACATAGCACAGGAAGCGGCCCAGACGCCCTTGGAGTAGGGATAGTTTGTACTGGGCAGGGCACGCCATTTGGTGGGGGATTCAGTTTGCAGCCCCGCGTACTCCTTCCCCCCCCCCGCACGCTATTTACCTCCTCCGCTCCTCTCTCGACGGCTCGATTCTATGAGGAGTGAGAGAGAGCGTACTGAACTTTCTGTGCTATGTTCCTCCCAACGTTTCAATATTAATTTGTTCAACGTGAGAAGAATGTCATTGAAAGGCGGGGTTCCTTGGTGGAATGCCAGAAACGGTTTAAAAGAGATACTTGAATGCAGATTCAAGTCAGCCATTTCTTGAACTACTGTAGCATTGCCGCGTTGGATAAACTGGGTTTGGTGCGAGTGCCGCGCACGTGACGTGACTTGCAACCTCTTATTCATCGCGTCGTAGTATTGTGGATCTTTCGGTCAGCAAGAATAGTGAGGAAATCGTAAGCAGTTGAAACTGAGATTCATTTTCGAAGAGACTTACATTTATAATGGCCCGTTTGGTATTGGACATGTCGGAAATTGCTCCATCAGTGATGATCAGGAAAATCTAAAAGTGAAGATGCACTAGATTTTTCGATGGAATTCCATAGTCTAGATGTTTCCAAAGAACTTGTGCAGGCAGCGTTCGGACTTAACGATGATGCGTTGCATAGCGCTGTCTGCGCTCCAGTGCTATAAACGGGAACGTGGGCATAGACTTACATCGATCAGCGCCTAACGCGCGTCATCGAGAAGTCTGAACGCAGATTTAGCATACAGATACGGGATATGTGAAAACTAGTTAGCAAAGACGAAGGACTAAGGAAGCATATCCAACCCTCCCCCCCCCCCCGCCGCCTATGATATGTACTTTCAAACTGTGATATATGGTTAAGCGAGCTATTCCCAGTGTAGTTGAAAATTTCAAGTCCATATACTTGCTTTTACCAATATTGATTAAGCGTCCGTAGAATCGATTACGTCTTGGAGGAAGTGCCCGAATCTGCCAGCCAAAGACACGGCCACGATTGCGGGTGGGGAACCAGGAAAGGATGTCATCAGTGCGCCCCCTTCTCCTCCTTTTTGCTGTCACAGAAGGTGGGAAAGGGAGGTTCTGTTCATCTCAAACGGCGCCTTCAAAGACACGACTATCTTTACGGTGGTGTAGGTGGAGTCATCTACGCTTCAAAAGCAGTGCGCACCATAATTTAGGTACTCCGGCCTGAAAATGTCTAGGGCAGGACGCCTTATATAGTGAGAAACGGCGAAAAAACGAAGTGAAACGGTCAAGAAACCTGCGAAGAAAAGCCTTCGCACTTCATGACTCAAGAGCAATTTCGGACGAGTTTCCCGTAGGCGTCTTGCCAATTACCTTCATACGGTATGCTACGCCTGCACGCCTGTTACGCAACATACATGCAGCGAAGCCAGTACGAGCATCAGTTAGTTCGTCCATTTCTGGGCAGGCGGGCGTCTTCGTGAGCGCTTCTTAGTTGGTATGTTGGTGCGGTGATAGAGCCTTATTAAGAGTACCTTTCTCGGGGGAGGCACCCCGCTGAGCACTCTTATTGTCGCGCGGATTCCGTTCTTCCCGTCGTATTGATCCTACACGTCTTAGGGATTTATCGTGGCAACTGCTTTTAAAATCAAATATCACTTTCGTGCTCAGCACATCTGCATAGGCGGGGTTTCACCGTTTTTTCCACTTGGGGGAGGGTAAAGTAGCGTTGGTTATCTTCGGTATAGAATGAATAGCGCAGGTTCTTGATGTGCAATGGATAACTCAGTCTCCTAGTTTTTCGGAATTCCGTCCTGCCAGGCGTACTAATCCCACTCGTCTTAGGGATTTATCGTGCCAACTGCCTTTAAGGTTATCATAGAATTTCACTGCAGCAGTGTGCGAACACATTGTTTCCATCGAATGTGCATGAAATGAGTTTCTACCTGATAGTGAGAACCATCGCGCACTTCAGCCGCCCTTCGTGCTGCTTCTGTAATTACTGGTGCGAAATTGGTAGGACCATAGAGGCGAACAGCCGGCACACATTTGTGATAGGCGTTCAGAACGCCGTCAAGACGGCGCACCACACAACTCGATGAAAGGTTCTGCAAAATGAACAAGGAAAACGAGTGATTAAAAAAGCAAATCAAACAATTGAAATGAATTATGTAATGGGGGTTCTCAGCAATTGAATCGTATAGACATCAGGCACTGTTCGGTCTGGGAGGGGCATATTGCATTTTCGCCAGTTCCTTTTAATAGTTCCTGTTGAATTGCACGTCACGCCTAGGTGAGACCTGTAGACTCCTGTCAAGTGTGAACGAAGCTCTTGCTACTTTATGGCTTCACAGGGGCATACAGGTCTCCTCCACAAGAGGCATCGGCAGAGATCGATGGGAACCAGCAAAATGCCCCCACCTAGCCGAACTGCGCCTTGATCTCGTATTTCGTTTCAAAAGTACTGCAGGATTTGTTGTTTGTACGGAGTCACGTGCAGGTCTATAACATTTAGGTGTAATAGAGCAGTACCAGGTTGAAAACCGGTGAAACTTTTTTCTTTCCAGGAATAATTGCACCAAAGCCGAATGCATTGAACAGCTGCGTTCGGCTATAGAACTGACAGATATCGACGACGGCTCTGAATAATTAATTGACATTTATCAAATGGCCGAGGAAGTTTTCAAAAATCACTTAAACTATAAATCAAGAAGTTCAGGAAGTCCTGTTTATTGGGAAAACAGTTTTGACCGATTACCCATCACCGTAGGCAATCAATCTTTCGAAGGCGAATTTAGCGAAAAGAAGTACTAAACGGTGGGAAGCACTGCAAGTAAGCCCCTCCCTTGCAGCTGTTTTGAGCTTTGCACGAGAATGCGTATTATAAGGGAACCTTGGGAAGAAGAAGTCGCAAGAGAGATAGAGATAGAGAGAGAGAGAGAGAACAGAAAGGTAAGCGGGGCGACTCATAAGGTCTCGCGCAGATATGGTAATTGTCGG